AGAAAAATCCAATGCTACATAAACAAATTATTTGTTTGTATATGAGATTCAAATTGGCTGGAATTCAATGTGTTCTTTTTCCGGTAGTTGGTATTATACAATATACATTATATTGTAAATTTTCACCCGTAACATATATTATTCCATAGACCTTGTACTACTAAGTACTAGTCAAGAACTGTGTATAACAAAAGCGTTTCGAATGGCGTGTAAACATCTTGCAGTAATAAGCCCAGCCCGACGAAAAAATGTAATTATATATATATCTATATATCTTAACGTACTACCCCGCACTATCATTTGACATGCGTTTTGAGTAAACGAGTAAACATATCATTTTTTAATGAGTAATATTTAGATAATTCATTTGACTTGCACATTTGGCCTATATCTATGAGTGAGTAGTAAATGAACATCWGAGTGAGTTTCCAAAAATCGTTGTCACGATACATTCGGCAACCACCGCCGGATGCAACTTGCAAGCGCACGCACATGTCAATACAGTGAAAAATAAAATATATTCCTATTTTAATATCTATAAATCTATAAAAACTACTTAAATGGTAGTAAGTTTAATATACTTCACGAAGTCCTATTGTAATCTCAAAAAAAATGTCGAATTTATAAACTTCTAGATTACTCCTTAGAAATAGCTTTTTTATTGATTTAAAATTAGATGTGTTCAAAATAAATAAAAATGTTATTATATTATGGAATTTTTGAATAAACCATTTGAATTTTAATATCTTTTAAAATTGAAAATTGAAAATCGACTTCCTAAAAGCCTAGATGTATTTTCAAAGAATTTATGTATTATATATTAAACAAATAATATCGAACATTTAGAAGTATATTATTTAATTTACCACTAATTATTGATCTAAAACGTATGAAAAAATATGTGTAGGTACTTTGTTTCCTTTTTTGTCAATTATCAATTATCGTATTAAATTTTGTTCAAATGCGGACCTGTTTTGTGCCGTGCCTAAGATTTTGGCATATCCACGTCACATAAGTTTTAGAACCTGTATGTGATCAATCACTGATCATACATCTAGTTCGATTAATGGCTCAACTGAACTTATTTTATTCTGTGATTATATGCGTGATATCTTTAGAATTGTGTACAAATTAGGTCGGTTMACTACCGTTCGAACTTTGGAAGTGCCGCTGATAACTTTATTTTAATTTTCGGAGGTAATGAAAGTTGACGCTGTTCCCAGTTAGAATAAGGACCACGCTCTGCTACCAAAAATGTGGTGCCATGTCTTTCCTACAACATATATTGGGGTCATCGGCTCCGTCCCCAACATATCACAACTCGTTTCCGTTGACCACCATATTGCATTGTAGATACGGCACGGCGCAACATATTATTGTTTAGTGAAATTGAATAGATCACATGAAGGCGTGTCGCGTGTAGCAAGATAGTGTGACGCAATATTAACGCAAACTAGGTTAGCGTCTCCCGTTTCTTTTGTTTATGTTGGCTTTACTGTTTTGCGTCATCAGACGTAGATTTCAATCTAGTGTGCATACGGTGGGTTTTATTGATCGTTTTATCGCACATATAATACATATATGTGTCTATTCGTAACGAAACACAGTGTGTTACTGTTACAAATGCAAAATCGTGTTTTGATGGATGGCTATACGAAATCATTAAAAGCAAAATTCATTGACGTAACTAAAGGGATGCTACCATAGGCGTATCTAGGGGGGCAGTGGTTGCTTGGAACCTCCAGTGAGAATATTAGCTATCCACACTATTTATCAAATTGAACTTGTGGCGAATAACAATAATTCTTAAATAATCACGTTTTATGAATATGTATATTAATTTTACAATGATGTATGTCTCTTTATTACAATAGGTACACTAAAAATAATACAAAATATGCTTAGATTTTCAATTTTAAGTGTAGTTTTTGATACCAAGTGTGTCAGTTTATACTTTTTAGAGGTAAAAATGAAAATCGGGAAGAACAAAAAAAAACAAGGAAAAACTGGAAGTTTTATGTAAAATCAATATTGGTTTTAGCTGATCTTCAAAACGAATAACATTAAATACTAGAAATGTTCACTAAAAGTATATTTATATTARTATTTTCTGTGTTTAATTAAATCATAATATTTAAAACTATTTTGAATTTTTGACGCTATTTGAGTTAATTAATATTTTTGATATTTGACATTTTTGATTTTTTTCAATAACTAATATAAAACATAATATCTTATAAGTATACTATGGAAAAGTCCAATAAAAGAAAAAACTGTGCAAAATGGCACATATAGTAAAACGCGATTTGTGTATATACCTTTTTCATTGAGTGCAACTGCCAGCTATAGTGTTCCGAACCGATGCTCGTGATAAATATAAAGGTACCCGTACCTCGATATCGAAATAGAATAGCAGTATAGAATCATACCAGTCATTTTTAAGCTGTTATTTAAGTCGTAGTGAATGTGTAATCGTATTATGCGACTGTAGAGTAGATTAGGTTAGGTAGATATAAGAAATAGCTTGATAATACATAAGGACATTTGTCTACATGTTAGTATGTTAACAATCTGTGATTAACAAAAGATGAGAAATATTGTTTTACAAAAATCTTCAACTTTATACCTACCATACTGAAAAAGCTCTAGCAATGGAATTAGAAATCTTAAAACATAAATTTGATATTACATTTACTTAAAGTCGTTTGTCATTTTTTTTTTCAAGTTTGTATAAATAATTTGAAGGGAAGATAAGAAAGAATTAAAATTTTAAAAGCTAGTGACCGATGTCAAGTAAACTTCATAATTAATTCAATTTTTTTTTATGTATATATACCTATATTAACGCTTCAAAACATAAATATATTACAGATTCCTATATTGGATATGCTTTTTATAATCCTTATTGCACCACTAGTTTTATCAATAGGTAGATAACATGGACAAAACATGAGTAGATGGGTACCTCATACCTATAACTTATGTTACACCATTGGCCATCCCTATAATTATGTTCATAGGAATATAAAATTATAAGAAAAATGGTAGCAGGAATAATGGTGCCTAACCATTATTATAAAATACACAGAATATATTATAATAGGTACCAATCAAATATAACACAATTCAGTTGTTCTTCTATGAAATATGCATAGGCAATACTTATAATAAATTAATAGCTATTAACTATATAGATTAAGTTAATATTATATAAAYGTGTAACTTTTCTGTTTATAATATATAAATATATAATGTGCCAATGTGCGGGTAATTAACTATAGCCTAATAATTAATTCGATAATTATAATTAAACTATTTAAGTATTAAAAGTACTTGATTAATATTTTATGATTTGTGAACTGTGTAGTGTGTATATTTATTTCCCATATTTTTTTATGTTATGATAGAATTGACAGATTTGGATGAACACGAGGAGCTTCAGTCTAGATACGTCAATGGGTATATTGTCTGGCAAAGTATCATAAGTACATTCAATTCRTCAATTGTAATTTATTTAACCTAATTTTATTTTTTATCAACATAAAGAAGACAAAATCAATTAACTTTATAAGAAAAATCTTTTAATTAGCTGTCTAACCTCTTTTACTGCAATGCACAAAATTAATTCTATATATATATTGGATAAGGATATTATATAAGGGAAGTTTATATAAATAGAAAAAATTAAAGAAAATTAATTTTAATAATCTTTTAATAATTTTAAATTTAGAATAAAAGCGGACCTGCAGATTCTAATGACAAAAACAAATTATTAAGTAGCAATAACTAGCAACTAGTGTGGAAATATTCAATACTTTAAACACCAACCATAAGTCATAAATTCGATGAGTGAACATGGATAATATTATATTTATTGTATCTATTAGACTATTTGAGTAAACAAAAAAAAAATRTGTAGTATATATGGCCAGAAATATAAATATAAATTTTGAATGTGGTGTGCTAGTTTAAAAAGGTTAGGTACAACTACATTTAAGTATAAGATTCTGAGCAAAAATTAATGTATTGATTTTGCAAAGCTTATTTATTTTTGTGTTTAGAATCACGTTAATTATTGCCGTTTTAGGGCAGTAAAAATACTTCAATTTTAAACTTTTAAGTGGTTTTTTGTAAAAATGGATCTAGGTAGTGATTGGTGGGTGGTGGGGATGAGGCAAAAGTAAAAAACTCTTGGTACCTACTTTACATAGTTTTAAAAAAATAAAAATAAATGCTTGGGCAAAAAGTTTGAACTTTAATACAAAAGTTTAGAAAAGATATTATTAAAGGTATCAGTTAAAAAGTATTAAAGGTATATAAATACGATTCATTTTGACAAAACTGACCAAAAACTATGACAAAATCATGAAAATTTGCAACTAAATAAAATTGTATAGTTAAACATTTTTAAAATATTTAAATTTAAAACTAGAATTGAAAATTAAAAACAAAGTTTCTCAAAACTAGTTCACACTAATCAAAAATCTAAAAAATATATGAACAGTTTTTTTTACAAAAATTTAAGTACAAATTTGTCAAAATTCWAAATTCAAATGAAGAATAATAATTTTACAAATTTTTTGTAATTTAAAAAATATTATTTTGCAAGCACTTGAAACTTTCAAATATGTTGTTAGATTTTAAATACACAAATACATTTTTTGATACAATTTTTCAAGCAAAAATCAATTACTATATTAATATGTAGGTACCTATTAAAGTCGTCAATCATTTTAATAGCAACAATATCATAAACTGTAGGCTGAGAGTTTGTCTTTTAGCAATTTTAGATTTTATTCATATTATATAATTTGTATATTTAGGTTGTACAGATTGTTCTTTGTGAAGTACGAAAAAAAATAGTTTTAAAACACTGTTATAAAAACATGAAAATGATTTGAAAATCAAATGTATTCTTATAATATAATAATATATATTAAATAAAATAACATAAACCATAAATATTTAATCAAAAGCTTTTATTTATATAAAAATTAATTTTAACACATAATCTCCTCGGTTTCAAAAGTTATTTTACATCTTGGGAGATCCTGAAAATAAAAAACAAAAATTAATAAAAATACTTAAATATAATTTTAATAAGTACATTTAAGCTTTCCGCCGAAAAAATCAAAAAGCAATAGATCTCTTACATTAACGATAAACAACATTGATATTAGAAACAACAACGGGCCTTATTATCTAGTAGTTAAATTATATAGAACCCTCACTTACAAATAATATATTGTAGCTATGAAGAATAAGCTAAATAGCAGGAATGTTATTGTTCAACTAGCTGGGAGAAGCTTGGGCTGCAACCCAAATGTTTTAAAAACTTCCACMTTAGGCTTAGTGGATAATGTAATGGAGTATTGCGCTCCAGTTTGGATGAGAACCCACTGTAACAAGGTCAACGTACAATTAAATCAAGCTATGGAAATCATGACTGCCATGATCTAAAGCAGGCAAAAGTGATGGTTACCAGTTCTCTCCAACATTTTTTTACCAGAATTTCGTAGGTGAACGGCAGTATCGTATATTCTTGAAAAAATTGAAARCAAGAAGTAGATACCTACTWGTTTATTAGTTTACAACAATGTTTTCTGTCACCTAGATAAAAGGCTTAAATCAAAACACCCAATATGGAACATAGCTATAGGCAAGTGTCACCCCTTCAGAAATGGTTAAAGCAATGCAATGAATCCAGAATTAAAAATAGCTTCCTATTTGACAGTCAGATTTTGAGGCGCCTAGACCAATTTATACAATGCTAAACAGGATCCAAACTGACTAGGGAAAYGTAACAATCTATTACACAAATAGGTTTTTCAGAAGTATCTGCTTTCATATGAAGGAAAGAACAAACAGTGAAAGAATTAGTGCTGGAGTGTTCTAAAACCAAATTTTAAAGAGGAATTGAAAACATTTGTAGCTGTAATTTTGAAGTCATAGGTTGGATGCACAAGCTGATTGTGAACTTATACATTTTTCTAGCTTATACCTTTTTGCTTACACTACTATTTCTACCATGATTATAGTATTTTGTTCATTATTTTATGTTATTATTATTATTTATTTCTGTTATTTACTTTTATTTGAATTATGTGTATATTTATATTTATTGSAATAGTATTACTTAATAATTTTACCAAAGTCATAAGCAATAAAAAAATGACATTTACAATGTAATATTTATTTTATTAGTAACGGTCAAGAGGGGGTGATAGTGCGATACACTGGAATGTCATGTCTCTAAATTTTATGATTTACATGTTCTATCGCCCCACTTAAAATAATTTATAAATGTTATCSGTTTATACCCAGATTTCAATTAGAATTTTTCATATCATTTTTGATTTTAGTTTTTATTTAAATTAGTTTTACAATATTATAATGAAAATTGATATTTATTAATTTTATAGTATTAATAAAGTAATTAATTTTTCAATAAGAAATAACTACCTTTTAGTTTGCCTGTTTAAATTGTGACTACTAATTGGGAAATCTAAACATAATTTCTTAGAATTTTATGGTAATAATAAGATTTTTTTAGTGTAAAGCAGTGGTTCTCAACCGGTGTGCTACGGCACAATACTGTGCCGAGAGATCAACTAGGTGTGCGCGGGAAGTTTCTGATATTTGTAATTATGACAGTAATTTATTTCATTAATTTTGTGTTGAGTGTGAATCAAAAACTTGTGATATATAATAATGTGCCATGAACCAAAAAAGCTGGTGTAAAGTCTAAAGTTACAATCTTTTTGATTAATTTATCAAAAGATAATAAATATAGTAAATATAATTTGTATTTAAAAAAAAGTTAAGATTTGTGTATGCTTATGAATAATATACATATAATTTGTATTTAAAAAAAAGTTAAGATTTGTGTATGCTTTCTGTATTATGAGTATAATGCATACTAAACGGAATTCATAAATTGTAAGTAGATAAATATTTTAAACATTAAAGTTATATGTATATTATTCATTTATATTATATATTTAGTATTTCCACATTATAAATATAATATTTGTTGTATTTCAAATTTCAAATATATTTAATAGAAGGTACTTAGGCAGTTAGGCAGGAAGAATATACCGACCTTAAAAATTCAAATGTATACTGAATGATAACAAAACTGTRATATAAAAAAGTTGTTAAGGAGAGGAACTCACGTTCTTCCATCAACCATTCCATCAAAAGACGTATGACTCTAAATAAGAGAACTATACAACTCAATTGCATCCCTCCACTTATTTTGATCAGCTTTGACCACTGTTAATGTCACTGTTGTATCAAGGTACTTATGGAGTTAAATATGATTCACCAGTTAATATTTTAAAATAGTTTTGGTTTATTAAATTTATTTTTCGAATTATGGCATATCAAATTGTATTAAAGAACTAGAAGCTATAAATTAGTAAGAAATAAGCTGAAATAAGTAATTTTTTAATACTTTTTAGAACATGCATATTTACAGTTTTCATATTTATTTTTAATATTTTCATCAATCAACTTGATGTAGTACATATATGATATTTAACAATAGCAGTCAATATTGAGCATGATTTACCAAACTTAATTAAAACTAATTTTATCAACACTGAAGGTACACTGTACTATGTCATCAAAAATCATTGAGATGGATGAGAATACTGGAATGAGTATACCCTACATCAGCAATATAAAAAACATTCAGGYCACAACAGCTGAACAGCCGACAATAATATTGATCCTATCCCTTTCACGGTATGACGAGAAATATGTCGAAATTACAGCATCTATACCTACCGTAAAGTAATAATATAATTTTGTATATATTTTAGGGACTAAGAAGTGTTAATTAAAACAAATAAAACAAAATATAATTACTTTTATTTATTCAAAAGAATAAAATTCAAATGTTATTGACAAACATAATATATGGTTTTTAAATACATATTGTATAGTATTTAACTTTCATATCATTAAATTAACTAAATTTTGTTAAATTTTATCTGACAGATGTTCTAGTTTTTGAACAATTCTTTCATATTATATTGTTTTTTGTAGTGTAGCATTCTAAGATTTATAAATTTTTGACATATTCATCTAAAGCGGTAATATTCATGGCTAGTCGATCCAAAATCTATATTAGTAGAATGAGAATTAGGAAAATAAAAATGTTTACTTTTATTCAAAATACATTTTATAGTGCTTTTATTAATAAGTAATTTTGATCTATTGTGGAGWWWAGTTCTTTTTATTAAAATTCATTAAAATTAAGATCTGTAATAACGTTTTCAGCTGCTCTACGTATAATTAATGAAACGGCGTTAGAGATGTTTATTATTTCCCTCTACTTACCGATGTTGTAAAATCCATTTTTATAAAACATCAGTACATTTCAATGGAAATCTATAATCGTGATTTATTAAATGTTAGAAATGTATAAATGTTTGACATTATTTGTAGGTATTTATGAAATCTGTTTAAAGTTCACTAACTGATAAAATTGTACAGYGTTGCCTTTAAATTGCCTATTATATAGTAAAACCAAATGCAGCACATGAAACAACCATATTAAATTATAATTATTTAACAACCCACACAAGGTACCTATAAGTTAAATAAATTTAAAGTAAAAAATAAAAATATAAAAATTAAAATAAGGTGTAAATAAATTAAGTTAATTTGTATAGTGTACATAATATATGTCTTACWATAATATCCTAATTTTTAATTTTTTGGTGGTGAGGATAACATTATAACCGACAAACCATTTTTTGATGCCTAGTACGCATTCCGGTATTCTTATCTATCACGATGTCAATAATACTTTAATAACAATTTATATTCTCAATACAGTGAGTACTGATGGCTTATTTTTAAATAAGTTTATGGCTGATAGAAAATTAGTGTAGATAAAAATWAGTTTGGAAACAATTACTGATATTTTACGAACAATATATAGGCTAGTAGATTTCTGAATAATATGATAACAACTGCAAAATATTTTAGTTGCATTTGATTCTAAATCTTAATAAATKATTATTATAGCAAGCACTTGTTAGTATAGGGTAAATTGTTAAAAATGTGCTATTTGATTACAATTATAAAAATATAATTACTAATATTTTAATAAATTGGTAATTAGGTACTGATAAAAATATTGCTTAAACACAAAAAGCAAAAATATAATATAACTGTGTAAATTACCTCAAATTCCACAATAGGATATGGTTTTGGCAAATTTTTGATTTCTTCAATTACTTGTTTGTGGTTTTCGGTCAAATTATCTTGATTAATCCATTTGTAGTACAAGCTGCAAATACGTGAACTCATCTCTTTGGCAGCAAAATCCTCAATTACCATATGAAAGTCATCTAGCATACATTTTTTAATATACCCAGATACTCGATCATTACGGCCAGTTCCTAAATTATATTAAAATCATATTAATTATAATTAAATTAATAGTACACACTGATAATAATTTATTATTCTAAAGAATTTACATGATTAATTTTGATGGTTAGGCTGAAACCTATTTGTAACATCTTAAATTAATTAAATAAAATAATATGATAGATAGTTATAACAATTATTACAACTATTAAATATTAATAATTATTTAGAAAATTAATAAAGAGAGGTATACAAACCATAAATCAAAATACAATCAAATACATCCTGTATGAATTTTTTTATATCTGTATACACAGCTATGCGTGAATCTCCTGAGGTACGATCAACAACCAACTTGAAAAAACAAAAAAAATATAAAAGCAACAGTAGGTACCTAGTGAAACGATAACCTGTAAACAAATGTCCACTCACATTCATTTCTGGCCAATTGTTGAACAGCGCAGAGATTATGTTAATAAAATTGACTTCATTGTTCCATTCAAATTTCTCTTTGGCTTCTAAACTCATTGTACTCAACAACAGCGGTGAACCAAAATAAACGAAATAAAGGTGAAATAGATAACAACTACAACAGTAAACCACAAATATAATAATATTTCATAGAAGTGATATATTTAAATATTTAGACAACGACAACTGATTACGCCGGTACCTACTACGTGACTGTGACTATCACAATAATAATAATTTGTCTGTGGTTTTATTATTGTAAATTGTTGCTCTTCCGTGGTGCAAGGACGTAAGGTTTACTTGTTACACGAACAAATGCGTGTCAATGATGATAGTAACTATAATAGGTATGCTGACAAATGGACTTCGAGTCATTGAGATTCCGGTAACCATTCTGATAAGAATTTATACCAGATTTTTAAAATTAAAAATATCCTTAGATGTGACGTCATATTTAATATAATATCATATTCATTATTGTTATCATACTTATTATCTTTAAACTGGCACCAGAGTACCATCTAAGTGTACGGTAGTGCGGTACTAACACGGAACAATATAAAAGCGACATTGGATCAGCTAATCAGATTCTTGTTTACCTGTGATCTGAAATCTGAACCACTGATAAACGTAAAAACAAGCCTGCGCACCAACCTGAGTGTATACGCTTGTTTTACCCGAGTGACGGAAACACTGTCGTGTTCAAGGCCATAGTCACCTGATTTAGCCGACTCACATTTCATACATTGCCATTCCTCTACACCCTATGAGGGCGTAGCTGATACACTGTATTATATTGTATTATTCTACTAAAAAGTAATCGTTCCGAGATAATCAAAATATATAGTGGTGGATGAAAGGGGGAACGTTGGGTGACCCCAAGATTCACGAGAGCGATTTTTATATTTAATAGATACCTAGGTACATTATAACTTAATGGTAACATGCGTCATGCATAGCTAGATAACGTTAGATAGAAATACCTCTCTTGYTGTTCTGAACGATAAGCTACAGGATAATCACAGATTACATTACACACTTAATATACAATAATGTAATTTTGTCATGCTATATTTTTCATTTCATGAAAAAAAGTCATGGTATATTAGTTATGCTCTTTCACCATCTCATCATACGTGATGTGTCGTGTACTCGTGTCGCGTGAGGATGTGGTAACTTAGGTTATAATTGGTAACCATATTGACTTAAAGTTAAGCAGTAGTCAATTCTGGGTATACTTGTTTGCAACTTGGTTATTAGTTACCATAAAATGTATGTCCGGTCACAATGCTATTTAATCGACATTCGACAAGTCATACACCTGTAAATCGGGAATAGTGGGAATGGTTACTACTGATAACGGTTTTATTGATGAGGCATTGTTCAAAACTTCAGGAACGTTTCCTCATGGGTGATTAGTATAGAAAATGGATCCGTTCTATATATTATATGTTATGCTAACTCATGAGTTGAATCTTGAATATATTTTACTCTTCATGACACTTTGCAGTTTGATTTCATCTGTTGATTAGAAGCGGTAAAAATAAATTTCTTAAAAAAGGCGCTTACCATTGAATCAGCTAGCCTTTCTCCCTGGTTTAATTATCATATACCTAGTTGCATTGTGCGATTATTAAAAATCATTGGACCGGAYGAGTTTTCGTTTGGAGTTAGAATAATTATAAAATACTCTTTATTTAATAATTCTAAAAAAATATTATGATTGTTTCAATTAGCGTAATTAGGATTTAATAGTTACATGACAAGGGGCTAAATTCTTAAGAAACCAAAGTTAAAAACATTAAATGCCCTCATACTCTCGTACCATGAGACATTTATGAGCATCACTAGAGTTAAGAAGTCACGGGAATTAGGTAGGGGGTCCTGTAAAATAAAAGTATGAAATGAACCATAGAGACATAGAGTAAAAGTGTATTTGACATTAACAATAAAATGTAAGCAATAAGATAGATATAATATATATATATATATTGTCATTATAGCATACACCTATGGTCAAAATGTGAATGTTTAAAAATGTCACCATCGATAATCTAATATGAGGAATACCATTCAATAGTAATTTTATTTTTTTATTTATTAACCCGTGGCAACATAGACCATTGGGAGAGGGGGTGGTACTGTAGGTTTTTTACAATGCCCGGGTGGGAGGCTGTCAATATTAATTGTAGATCATTGAAACGATGTTTAGTTACATAAAGTTGATCTGATGTTTTTTTTTGATTCCATTTATACATGAATTGAATTATTCAAAGTAACTTCTCTTATATAACCATAAAAGTATATTACATAGGTAGGTAGCTAGATATAAAATTATTTTATATTTTATACATTAGACCCGTTACAGTTTTTATGAAACGATTAAGATTTCAACCAGGATTGGCTTGACAATAAAAATGTTTAAGGGGTGTAAACATTTACGCTGATGAATATTTAGAAATCATACTAATATACTGGGTGCCTGTGTAATGTGAAAGTGCTTAAACTCAAACTTTATAATATGATCACATTTGAAATGGTCCCAGCATATATATAAGCCTAATCAATGTGGTTCAGGTAGACAGGTAATAAGAAAATTAATTACCTTCTCTATTATTAAGAAAATTTTTCCGCATCAATAGAAATCCTCAAAAACGATTCATTACTAGGTAACAAACCTGAGTTTAACCTCTCAGCACTATATTTTATTTAACAATTTAATATGTTGTTGGTAGATAATATTCATCAGATAAAACTATCTACGATATTGTATTTAATTTTTTTTCTCTAGATCATGTACTGCAGATTTTAGTATTTATATAATCCAATATTATTGTTTTAACCAAGAGTAAACACTTGTTATATGTACGTATTTTCATTTCGTTTTGAAATATTTTTAAGTGGGATTTTATATATACTTTATAAATATTTGCGATTCTGATAAACATTTTATGTATAAATAATATAGAGAATCATAATTTAATATACAGGCCTTACCGGCTTCTCGGCAATGTGGCGTCACCACATACAGTGATATAATAATAATAATAATATATTATTATTTTTTGTTCATATGTGAATCGTACGCCGCCTACAGTGCAAAAAAAAATCCGTTCTATAATGCGAGATGGCAATCACCGTGACGATCCCTCAAAATTACCTTTTTTTGGGGTTTGTGGGTGTGTGTTTATTTTCGGATAAAGGAAAAAAATAATGCGTAGTATATTACTTAATAAATTATATTCATATACTGACACCAATGGGGTGTGTCAGACGCGGTATATATATATATTATATATATAATGCGCAGTAATATATCATTATTGAACAGGCACATGTATTATATGTATTGCAGCGCCGCTGTTATTGTTTTATAAGACATGTTTTTGATTTATCAGTTTCTTTATTTATTATATCTATATTTATTTTTAAACGAACAAATATAATAGGTGTCCACTACCCCTACATTTACAGACCCGAGTGGAGCCAAACAAAATGTGAATCTGCATGACACTTGTTCGAATCTTTTGTTCTCATGTGAATTGTGTATAGGCGCGTCGGGCGCCGTCGCATCAGCACCCTTACTGTTGCAGTGAATATTGTGGCGCCTTGAACACGGATAAACAATGTTTTGTTATTCTATATCCTTTTCATGAAAAACTGTACATTTATTTCTCATATAGTTTTTACAATATAAATATCAAACAAAAGTATTGGACATAATACACCCTAAAAGATAACTACTGACGATAATTACACACAATGTATAATGGTGTCCTCATTGTTGTGAAAGSGAGTGATCAGATTTTCTATMACTTTACCTGTATGGCTATAAAATAATATGTATTACAAAATACAGTACAGAGTACTATTGAAAATAAAAAATAATACATTCAGTATTTAAAGTACAATAATCTGTTTTTACGTGCCTATCGTAAAAGAGTCCATGGGTGATATTATTTTATAGGTACATACATAATAATATATACAACATCGCCGGGCCGTATCAACAAAAACCACCGGCCACACGCAGCCATAGTTGTCTGCGCGCCCACCACGAAAGTGGTCTGAATCGACTCGAGGATCCCGCTATACATATATAATATATCGCCGTAATAATCTAACACCCTAACCTATACACATACAGCAGTACTACTAGTGTATATAGGTATACACCTGTCATAAAAATATAAAACGTCCTCAAACGGTTTTAATTTTCGTAGTTATATATGACACATCACGCTGTGTCAGAGTTTTCTAAAATTACATCAACTGATATACCGCCAGAGATTAGTTATAACTTATAATTATTGTTAATTTACACGAATATTCTGAGGAAACTATCATTTACGGTTTCGATTCTTAAATTACCTCTGCTTTATCGTTATAATTTATAAGAGCACTGACCTGGTTGTTTTTACCTCAGTTGTACTAAACCACGTGAACACATCCTAATAAAAAATAGTGTAAGGTGACTAAGCTTATGGCTTAATAAACCCATAATTTAACCATGTAGTTAAACTGGTGTTCGATAGGACGAATACTCGTGATAGCTCAGTTGATTGCGCGTTATTGTGAATTATGATATCACTTGACGGATAGAAGTCGTGGGTTCGATCCCCAGCCGAAACCGTGCAATTCATCTAGTTCAGCTAGAATTATATAATTTGCACTAAAATAAGAACGGGGTATAATAATTTACCTTTTATGGTTGTGAGGAATAGTTAAGTTATTATATTCTTATATTGTATCAAAAATATTTCTTAATTTTTCGTCTAATATACGATATATATGTCATATTACATATAATATATTATATAGCATATTAAATATGATAATCTGACTATGTCCTCAGATAAAAAAATGGTTAAAAAAATTGTTTTATTTTGTTTATTGTAATATTATAATTGAGAGTATGATACATTTTACTCATAATATAATATTAATGATCAGACCATTTTCAGTTGGAAATAAATAAATTTTTTATAAAAAAAAAAAAATTAAATCTTTGAATTCATTTAATTTAAACAGATTTAAACAAAAGCTACGTGAGTTTTATAAGTGGTTTATGCTCGCAAGAAAGATTTAAAAAAAAACATAATATGACACAAATTACAGTGTGATATACATTTTTCTTTTTAGCTGAAATATATTTGATTTGAAAACCTATTA